TCAGCAGCTGAGCCAGAGGCCTGCACGTTGAATGCTCTCCACTGGTTGTTGCTGCGAAGATTACTGAGGACCTTAGCGACCTTCTTAGAAGCGAGGCCTGTGGCCCCGTTGAACTTAATGAGGAACCTGCGAGCAGGCGTCGGCGTCGGGCAAGAGAGAGTGCACTGGTCAGCTTCGAAACCGAGCTCAGCGAGGAACGGCGACAAAACGTCACGGACTTGCGGGAGTCCCACCATCTTGGTGCACATCGCAACCACCACAGCTGGGTCTGTCTGGAGGTCGAAGCTGGCAGGGGGCGAAGGGGCGGCTTCCTGTCGCTTGGCCATGTGCAATCCATCACGCAGCTCAGCAATCTCCGCACGCAGCTGGCACAGCTGCTCCGTGTGTGAGCCCAACTCGATGTTGAGTGCCGCAACCTTACCTGCCACCTCATCAATATGGCGCTGCATCTTCCGCGAGAGTTCATCCAGTGGTGGCCTGAATACTCCTATGGCTTTTTGGTCAAGCCCTGCAGGTTGTTCTTCCAACTGCTTTTGAGAACGTCCAATGTGCGCAGAATGTTGGTACTGCTGTCTTTGACCGTGTCTCCAACCGTCGAGGCGACAAGATTATCCAGCTCCGTGCGTATCTCATTGAACTGGGATGAGACGCCGTCGGCGACCACAGACTTGATATACTCGTCGGAGTACTCCCGGGTGCCTGGAGTGGCGGATGAACACCACGAATTAGCCCCTGCGTGGACACTAGCAGCAGGAGGAGGACCACCAGGAGCAGGAGGAGTCGCAGTGCCCGTTTGCAGCTCGTTGCGGCCGAAGACAAGCGCGGCCCCAGCAGCGGCAGCACGGGAGGCAAGGCTGGCGACACCCTTGCCACTGCTAGAGGATCCTTTACCTTCCTCGGTACGCGGGTACTTGAGCTCGGGCGAGCCTTGGAGCCGATGGCCATCAGCACGCTCATCATCAAGGAAGGTGGGCATATCTTCGATCTCCTGGGCGCATCGGGCCAGAGCAGCAGCATCTGGGAGCCCCATGGCAACTGGGACGATCGCTCGCACAGGAACGGGAAAAGGCCTCCGTTTACCCGAGGGCGCGAGCGTCGGAGCGATGAACGATCTCTGCAAGACCACCAAGGGTCTTGTCTGCCGCGGACTAGCGGTATCCACTTGTTCCACTGAGGAAGCCAAGCATCTTGAGCCAAAATGGCTACGGAGGAGGATGAGGAGGAGGAGGAGGGGGGGGGGGAGGAGGAGGAAGGAGGAGGAGGAGGAGGAGGAGGAGGAGGAGGGAGGAGGAGGAGAGGAGGAGAGGAGGAGGAGGAGGAGGAGGAGGAGGAGGAGGAGAGGAGGAGGAGCGAGGAGGAGGAGGAGGAGATTAGGAGGAGGAGGAGGAGAGGAGGAGGAGGAGAAGGAGGGAGGATGAGGAGGAGGAGGGACGGGAGGGGGATGGAGGGAGGAGGGAGGAGGAGGAGGAAGCCCCCGACCCTCAACTTGGTGGTCCACCACTGGGGGGTCGGCCCGCGGGCCGGCGCCCCGCCGCATCAGCGCGCCCCTCTCCTCCTCGTCCTACCGGCGCTCGACCTAGCTCCGCGGTCGACCTCCTCGGTCGGCCCCCCTCCCCCGTCGTCGCGCTCCCCATGCCCCCTCGAGATCATGAAAAAATGAAGACGGGAGGTTTTGCCCTCTGTTCGGCCTCTGGGGACCATCAGTGGGCCTCGGGACCATGGGGAAGGGGGAGGAGGGGGAGAAGGATGGGGGGGAGGAGGACGAGGAGGAGGAGGAAGGAGGAAGGAGGAAGGAGGAAGGAAGGGAAGGACGAAGGAGGACGGAGGAGGAGGACGGAGAAGGAGAAAGGGAGGACGAGGAGGAGGAGGAGGAGGAGGAGGGAGGGAGGAGGAGGAGGAGGAGGTAGGAGGAGGTTCCAGGAGGAGGAGGAGGGGGGAGAAGGGGAGGAGGAGGAGGGATTGAAGGAGGAGGAAGAAGGATGAGAAGGAGGGAGGGGATGGAGGAGGAGGAAGGAGGAGGATGGAGGAAGGAGGAGGAGGAGGAGGAGGGAGGAGTAGGAGTAGGAGGAGGAGGAGGAGGGAGGAGGAGGAGGAGGAGGAGGAAACAAATCATGGCGTCGGGGGGCTGGGGCCGCGCTCGTCGCCCCCCACTCCCCGCCCTCCTCGACGGTGTGTGCCAGGGGGGTCCTCCTCCTCCACCTCCTCCTCTCCTCCTCCACCTCCACCTCTCCTCCTCATCATCCTCCTCCTCCTCCTCCTCATCCTCACTCCTCATCCTCCTCACTCCTCCCCCCTCCCTCCTCCCTCCCTACTCCTCCCTCCCCTCCTCCTCCTCCACTCCTCCTCCTCCCCCCTCCCTCCTCCCCTCATCCTCCTCCCTTCCTCCTCCTCCTCCTCCCCTCCTTCCTCCTCCTCCTCCTCCTCCTCCTCCTCCCCTCCTCCTCCTCCTCCTCTTCCCTCCTCCTCCTCCTCCTCCTCCTCCTCCTCCCTCCTCCTCCTCCTCCTCGGGGGACGACGGCTGCACAGTTTCGGAGCACAGAGGCCGCCAGCGTCGGCGTCAGGAGGGGGACCAGAGGGATGTCAGGAAGCAACTGCTGGGAGGCCTTCGTCGGAAGGACTATAAGGAATATTAGGCCTCAGGGGGGGGCTGCTACACCCTGCGAAATGCTTAAGAAATCATGGGTTAAGAAATTCATGGTCTCAGAAATTGAATAAAACCCAAAACTTCTATCAAAATCTTGGGGTTTACATTGAAAAATTAAGAATAATCGAGACTCTGGACGAAAACTTAGGTTTTCTTCAGCATCGCCTAAGGTGTAGGCCTCAGGGGGGGGCTGCTACGCCGGAGTGGGCCTCGGATTAAGCGGGATTGTGCCGGATTCATGGGGATTCAGCGGGATAGAGCCGGAGCAAGCGGGATGAAGCTGGATGAGGCCGGATTTCGGACCAGGGCAGAATCAGGATTTGACCTCCCATGAGTTGCATCCGAAGGGATGGACCATGTCGCCCCAGATTGTGCTCGTTGACCCTCTTCACATTTTTGCTGCCTCGTGTTGTCGTGTCTGCGGTGCTGTGTTGCACCTCTGGATGTGTGATCAGCGCGCCTTCGGGAGACGCGAGTTGGCCCGACGGGCCCGTTGGTGGGACCTGGTCTGAGATCTGGCGCGAGCCCCCGCTGCAAACATAATACGAAAACTGAACCGTCAAAATCGGAGACAAACCCGAGTTCGGGGAAACCACAAAAAGTACCGATGCCGCTACTCCCAACGCCTGTCCTGGGATGCATCCTGACCAGCCTTGCCAGGCGAATCC